GGAAAAAAAAGATATGTAGACGGAAAAATAGCTGCTTCCCAGACCCGGGGGCGGAGGGGGGGGGTCCTAGGTCTGTAAACGACTAGGAACGACCGGGGCTAGGCTAATCGCCTCCATAGCTGTTCCTGCTGGAACCTTTGAAGTCGTGGCACAAGATGAGCTGAGCGATGTGGGTGAAAAGAAATTGTAAGAAGAGTTTCTGGGTGAAGAGTCTCTGGGTGAAAAGTATATGGGTGAAAAGTATGTGCAAGAAGAGTTTCTGGGTGAAAAGTATGTGCAAGAAGAGTTTCTGGGTGAAGAGTCCCTGGGTGAAAAGTATATGGGTGCAAAGTATGTGCAAGAAGAGTTTCTGGGTGAAGAGTCTCTGGGTGAAAAGTATATGGGTGAAAAGTATGTGCAAGAACAGTTTCTGGGTGAAGAGTCTATGGGTGAAAAGTATTTGTAAGAAGAGTTTCTGGGTGAAGAGTCTCTGGGTGAAAAGTATATGGGTGAAAAATTAGTGCAAGAAGAGTTTCTGGGTCAAAAGTATGTGCAAGAAGAGTTTCTGGGTGAAGAGTCTCTGGGTGAAAAGTATATGGGTGAAAAGTATGTGCAAGAAGAGTTTCTGGGTGAAGAGTCTCTGGATGAAAAGGGTGAAAAGTATGTGCAAGAAGAGTTTCTGGGTGAAGAGTCTCTGGGTGAAAAGTATGTGCAAGAAGAGTTTCTGGGTGAAGAGTCTCTGGATGAAACGTAGTGCAAAAGAAGAGTTTCTGGGTGAAGAGTCTCTGGAAGGGTGAAAAGTATGTGCAAGAAGAGTTTCTGGGTGAAGAGTCTCTGGGTGAAAAGTATATGGGTGCAAGAAGAGTTTCTGGGTGAAGAGTCTCTGGGAAAAGTATATGGGTGAAAAGTATGTGCAAGAAGAGTTTCTGGGTGAAGAGTCTCTGGGTGGAAAAGTATATGGTGAAAAGTATGTGCAAGAAGAGTTTCTGGGTGAAGAGTCTCTGGGTGAAAAGTATATGGGTGAAAAGTATGTGCAAGAAGAGTTTCTGGGTGAAGAGTCTCTGGGTGAAAAGTATATGGGTGAAAAGTATGTGCAAGAAGAGTTTCTGGGTGAAGAGTCTCAAGAAGAGTTTCTGGGTGAAGAGTCTCTGGGTGAAAAGTATATGGGTGAAAAGTATGTGCAAGAAGAGTTTCTGGGTGAAGAGTCTCTGGATGAAAAGTATATGGATGAAAAGTATGTGCACGAAGAGTTTCTGGGTGAAGATTCTCTGGGTGAAAAGTATATGGGTGAAAAGCATGTGCAAGAAGAGTTTCTGGGTGAAAAGTATGTGCAAGAAGAGTTTCTGGGTGAAGAGTCTCTGGGTGAAAAGTATATGGGTGTAAAGTATGTGCAAGAAGAGTTTCTGGGTGAAGAGTCTCTGGATGAAACGTACATGGGTGAACAGTATGTGCAAGACAAGTTTCTGGGTGAAGAGCCTCTGGGTGAAAAGTGTATTGGTGACAAGTATGTGCAAGAAGAGTTTCTGGGTGAAGAATCTCTGGGTGAAAAGTATGTGCAAGAAGAGTTTCTGGGTAAAGAGTCTCTGGGTGAAAAATCTATGCAAGCAGAGTTTCTGGGTGAAGAGTCTCTGGGTGAAGAGTCTATGGGTGAAAAGTATATGGGTGAAAAGTATGTGCAAGAAGAGTTTCTTGGTGAAAAGTATATGGGTGAAAAGTATGTGCAAGAATGGTTTCTGGGTGCAGGGTCTGTGGGTGAAAAGTATATGGGTGAAAAACATGTGCAAGAAGAGTTTCTGGGTGAAGAGTCCCTGGGTGAAAAAATATGGGTGAAAAATTGGTGCAAGAAGAGTGTCTGGGTGAAAAGTATGTGCAAGAAGAGTTTCTGGGTGAAGAGTCTCTGGATGAAAAGGGTGAACAGTATGTGCAAGAAGAGTTTCTGAGTGAAGGGTCTCTGGATGAAACGTATATTGGTGAAAAGTATGTGCAAGAAGAGTTTCTGGGTGAAGAGTTTCTGGGTGAAAAGTATATGCAAGAAGAGTTTCTGGGTGAAGAGTCTCTGGGTGAAAAGTATATGGGTGAAAAGTATGTGCAAGAAGAGTTTCTGGGTGAAGAGTCTCTGGGTGAAAAGTATATGGGTGAAAAGTATGTGCAAGAAGAGTTTCTGGGTGAAGAGTCTCTGGGTGAAAAGTATATGGGTGAAAAGTAATGTGCAAGAAGAGTTTCTGGGTGAAGAGTCTCTGGGTGAAAAGTATATGGGTGAAAAAGTATGTGCAAGAAGAGTTTCTGGGTGAAGAGTCTCTGGGTGAAAAGTATGTGCAAGAAGAGTTTCTGGGTGAAGAGTCTCTGGGTGAAAAGTATTTGGGTGAAAAGTATTTGCAAGAAGAGTTTCTGGGTGAAGAGTCTCTGTGTGAAAAGTATATGGGTGAAAAAATTCGTGCAAGAAGAGTTTCCTGGTTGAAAGTAAATGTGCAAGAAGAGTTTTTCTTGGGTAAGTCCTGGGTGAAAGTAATGGTGAAAAGTATGTGCAAGAAGAGTTTCCTGGGTGAAAAGTATGTGCAAAGAAGAGTTTCTGGGTGAAGAGTCCCTGGGTGAAAAGTATATGGGTGAAAAGTATGTGCAAGAAGAGTTTCTGGGTGAAGAGTCTCTGGATGAAAAGGGTGAAAAGTATGTGCAAGAACAGTTTCTGGGTGAAGAGTCTATGGGCGAAAAGTATTTGTAAGAAGAGTTTCTGGGTGAAGAGTCTCTGGGTGAAAAGTATATGGGTGAAAAGTATGTGCAAGAAGAGTTTCTGGGTGAAGAGTCTATGGGTGAAAAGTATATTGGTGACAAGTATGTGCAAGAAGAGTTTCTGGGTGAAGAGTTTCTGGGTGAAAAGTATGTGCAAGAAGAGTTTCTGGGTGAAGAGTCTCTGGGTGAAAAGTATATGGGTGAAAAGTATGTGCAAGAAGAGTTTCTGGGTGAAGAGTCTCTGGGTGAAAAGTATATGGATGAAACATATGTGCAAGAAGAGTTTCTGGGTGAAGAGTCTCTGGGTGAAAAGTATATGGGTGAAAAGTATGTGCAAGAAGAGTTTCTGGGTGAAGGGTCTCTGGGTGAAAAGTATGTGCAAGAAGAGTTTCTGGGTGAAGAGTCTCTGGGTGAAAAGTATATGGGTGAAAAGTATGTGCAAGAAGAGTTTCTGGGTGAAGAGTCTCTGGATGAAACGTACATGGGTGAACAGTATGTGCAAGACAAGTTTCTGGGTGAAGAGCCTCTGGGTGAAAAGTGTATTGGTGACAAGTATGTGCAAGAAGAGTTTCTGGGTGAAGAATCTCTGGGTGAAAAGTATGTGCAAGAAGAGTTTCTGGGTAAAGAGTCTCTGGGTGAAAAATCTATGCAAGCAGAGTTTCTGGGTGAAGAGTCTCTGGGTGAAGAGTCTCTGGGTGAAAAGTATATGGGTGAAAAGTATGTGCAAGAAGAGTTTCTTGGTGAAAAGTATATGGGTGAAAAGTATGTGCAAGAATGGTTTCTGGGTGAAGGGTCTGTGGGTGAAAAGTATATGGGTGAAAAACATGTGCAAGAAGAGTTTCTGGGTGAAGAGTCTCTGGGTGAAAAAATATGGGTGAAAAATTGGTGCAAGAAGAGTGTCTGGGTGAAAAGTATGTGCAAGAAGAGTTTCTGGGTGAAGAGTCTCTGGATGAAAAGGGTGAACAGTATGTGCAAGAAGAGTTTCTGAGTGAAGGGTCTCTGGATGAAACGTATATGGGTGAAAAGTATGTGCAAGAAGAGTTTCTGGGTGAAGAGTTTCTGGGTGAAAAGTATGTGCAAGAAGAGTTTCTGGGTGAAGAGTCTCTGGGTGAAAAGTATATGGGTGAAAAACATGTGCAAGAAGAGTTTCTGGGTGAAGAGTCTCTGGGTGAAAAAATATGGGTGAAAAATTGGTGCAAGAAGAGTGTCTAGGTGAAAAGTATATGGGTGAAAAGTATGTGCAAGAATGGTTTCTGGGTGAAGAGTCTGTGGGTGAAAGGTATATGGGTGAAAAGTCTGTGTAATAAGAGTTTCTGGGTGAAGAGTGTCTGGGTGAAAAGTATATGGGTGAAAAGTATGTGCAAGAAGAGTTTCTGGGTGAAGAGTCTCTGGGTGAAAAGTATATGGGTGAAAAGTATGTGCAAGAAGAGTTTCTTGGTGAAGAGTCTATGGGTGAAAAGTATGTGGGTGAAAAGTATTTGCAAGAAGAGTTTCTGGGTGAAGAGTCTCTGGGTGAAAAGTATATGGGTGAAAAGTATGTGCAAGAAGAGTTTCTGGGTGAAAAGTCTGTGCAATAAGAGTTTCTGGGTGAAGAGTCTCTGGGTGAAAAGTATATGGGTGAAAAGTATGTGCAAGAAGGGTTTCTGGGTGAAGAGTCTCTGGGTGAAAAAAATTAGGGAACATAGGGATAGATGGGGTGCTGGCTTTTGTTCCCCACTTCTCAGGTATATATATATATATATTGAACATTCGACTGTCTGTGTAGGTTTGCAATGAGAGCAAAAATTGGACCCAATAGACATGAACACATATTTCGTTCAGTGACTATTTGGGATGTCGTATGCCGTATGCGCATGTTTACCATTGCTGTGCTTTCATGACACTTTTCAACAGTCCACTCACGTTGTTATGTCTTCCCTCTGGCAATATGGGTTCGTGATATCTCCCGAATAGACAAGCAACAAGCATCCACTCGAAACGGTTTGGAAAGTCCCCGAGAGCTTGTTGCCTGGAACTTAGTACATTCGGATGTTTTCCCCAACAGTGAAGGCACAAACAAGAGGCTAATGCACATGCTGAATGCTATTATCAGGATGTAGCCAACGCAAATGGTCCAATTGAATGGGGAGGCTCCATGTTTTTGCTGGTGATTCCCGAAGAAAATGTTGCGTCCACCACGGTGCGACACACATACAGTTTTCTAGGACTTGCAGATCATTGTTGCGGTCAGGTTCTGCAACACTTGTGTGGCATCATGTGTTCCATCCTTGGAGCACACTGAATTGAATGAGGCCATGTCCCTGCTGCAGTCTCTTTTTGGCCAGCGTTTTGAGGCAGCTGCAGCCCAAACGATACAGAAACAATCGTTGGCTTTGGTTTGCAACACTTCAAGACAGCTTTCTATTTCAGAAACTTGTTCAGTGCATCATTCATGTCTCGCATGGTTTCAGGAACGACAGACTGGTATGAAACCAGAGGATCCACGATGTGCCAAAGCATTCAGTTTCTCGGCAAGTTTTGAAGTTCAATGAATGCTATGACAGCTGGCAGCAGCTCGCCACCCTTCAAAGTCCAACAAGGTCCATACTATTGGTCAGCAATTCTGGTTTCAGCATCCTGATGGCATGACTACCCTCTGGTAATTTAACATAGCTATGGAAAATGGACCATTTATAGGTATTTTCCCATTAAAATGATGATGTTCCATAGTTATGTTAGTTTACCAGAGGGTAATTTTAGTGCCGTCCTTCATCGCAGGCTTCGTTTGGTCCAATAAAAAACTGCTGTTTGGCCGAGGTGCCATGGTTCAGCAGCAGCGCCGTCCTGCAACTTGTGCACAGAACAGATTGTTCCCATGAGCCTTTTCCAGATCTTTGGCATATGCCATATATAATATTATATATATATATTATATCCACATATGCCAAAAGTGTAGCCCCTTCCAAATCAATTCGTTGCATGGCGTATGTCTCAATATTTTTCAATTCCATTTGACGCTTGTGAGCCACAGCCCAAGGCAGGGGCCTTCGACTTGGATCTCAGCCTCCAGGCCGGTGGATGGTGATCGGCTGGAAAAATGGGGAAACACCATGGATTGCCAATGTTTGATGTGGCAGGAGCAGTGCGGATCAACATCTGAAAAGACGACTTTCAGTGGCCCAGCATGATTTTGAGTTCTGATTGCCGCATCCAACATTTGGAACTTGCCACAATAGGAAGGAATTGTGAGTGTCAGAATCATCACAGCCATTTTTGCAGATTCGGTGGGGTCGCCAATTTTTGGGACGGACTATAAAGATCTATAAAGGTCGCGCTATTTTGGATCGCGCCCAGCCTCCTTGCCTGCGTGCAGATGAAACCGGAATGGTTATCATATGTTCTTAAATTTGACCAAAAACCACTGGCAGGTCTGGTGCAGGAATGTTTTAACAAAAGCTCCGCAGAGTGTCGGTTTATAGCGGCAAATGCTTTGGGCAAGCCATCCTTCTCAGTGGATGAATCCCCCGTCCGTCCGTTCGGGAGGTCCATAGCTGCATCAGCCGAGGTCCATCGCCCGAGGCCAAACACCTCACACCAGGAGGCAGTTGGGCTGACAGTGAACTGAACGCAGAGCAAACATGTGAATGTTCCTCTCAAGTTAAGAAAACGGAATGGTATGCAATAGATTGGAATAGTATTCTTGGGTTGTGGAGGGGGTTCACGCTAATCTCAGCCTTGATTGGACACATTAACTCACATTACTGTAACTGTCATTTTGATGAATCCAGTAGTTGGAGACTTGATTTTGAACACCGACTGAACCACTTGTGGCCAGGCAGTTCCAAGGGCAGGGCGGAGGTGCTTGCGAACTTCAACCAGCGATCCTTGGCAAAGTGACCACATTTGGGGTGGGATGGAGATATAGCACCAGGTAGCATCACTTCATGGATGGAAAGTCTATAAACTGCATTAAACCGTGCTACAGAAACACGGACCGACAAGTCCTGGGGATTACCAATTGCTTGATCTTGTGTTGAGCAGCGTGCTTGTGTGTTTTTTTAAATCGTAGTTTGTTTCATCTGTTTCATGGGTTTCATCTGCGTCCATTGAAGTCGTCAAGGCTATGAGCTCTACGATCGGCTCCTGCGTTGATTGCAGCAGCTTTCAGCTGGTCGAAAGCTGGTCAGATGCGTAGGATGTTAGGGTGAAGATGTCCCACTTGGTGTTGAGCTTTAGACATTTGTTGATAGCTTGGATTTGAGGACATAGATGGACATAGTGACATATAGTGACACAGTGAATGTTGAGAAGTTTTGAGTATTGCCAGGTGGGACGAAGAAAATCATCTTTTACTCTTATTTAGAGAAAATTAATGGCTTCCAGATTGGTGAAGCAATGCAACAATATAGGTTTTGAAGAAGCAACGTACGTTTTGAAGACTTTGCTCTAATTCAGAGCTGTTGCTGAGTGTTATCTTGGAGCAGCGGGATACTGTGCCACTATGCAAGCATCTTTCCGTCATGGCAACATGATGGTGTCATATGGTGCCGATTCAGATTGAATCCTGGAAACATTTCATCAGAACCATGAGATGCCATTGGTTGATGAGTGGTCCCTGCTTTTGTTTGAAGCCTTTCCATGATTGGAAGAAGTGCAAGAAGCAAGACCATCTTGTGCAAAGCAAGCAGTGAATAGGACAGAACAGGGGCAATTCTGCCGTTTGTAGGCAGTGCCCCGGCTGCGGGCTAAGCGAAGCTGGAGCAAGTGGCAACCTGGGCAAGAGCCTAGAACTGCCACTGCTGACATGTGCCGATAAGTTGGATGTGAATGTCCAATTCACTGGACAGAATTTGGGCCCGTTCGGTTGGCTTGGACTTCGACTGAGGGGCCATGATGGTCGTAGTCTGCCGCCGCTGCTTTGCCACTGGCAGTAGAGACTTAAATGTCGCGCGAAATGCTGTAGGGTGGCGTCGCTGGCATGGAAGGACTTCCCAAGCCTTGCGATGATGTCAAAACAGCAATTTGACTGCCACAAAATGCCACAAGTTGAATGATGTCCTCTGCAACCACAAAGTTGCAACTGGATCGACTCAAGGCACTGTCTAGGGCCGGTTTTGCATTTCTGCACAGAATGAGATGAATGAATTTCTTAGAGCCTTTTTGCTTCTTGGGGTTCTTGTATGTTCTTGTGAGATCTTAGCATTCTTAGGTCCGGCCGTCGTTAAACAAAAAGTTGGTGCAGCCAATGACCAACGAAATCCAGGCCACCCCAATGAGGTGGCGCCTGCGAAGGAAGGAGATGTACCAACGAATCCCTTCATTTCAAGAGTTTCAAAAGAGAGGTACTTTGAGTGTAGCATTTGATAGATACTTGATTGTATACTATAGCCATGACATTACATAGCTCCTGTTCGCTCTTTGTTTTTTTTCAGGTTGTGCAGGGATGGGACGGCAATGGAACGCAGATAACGAAGATCCACAGATGAAGGGCTTCGTCTTACGGTGGCGCACTCCTTAGCAACATCACACAAGCTGATCTTCTGCCTGACCTGGCGAGATCAGCACAGACGAATCTTCCGTGTATCATTAAAGTTGTGGGGTTTGTTTCAAAACATTCAAAAGGTGGAAGTTACATAAGAACTAAAGTAACTAAAGATAGATGATATGGATGGCCCAAGCGACATCACGGGACACTGATACTCTTGATCCACTCTAGAGCTGACATGAGCCATGCAAACCCCATGCGAATTCTATGAAGATGGTTGAGTTGAAGCAAACCCTTTCCGTTTCCTGTGTAAGGAGCCCCTTGCGAACTTTAAAAGCAGGGCTCACAGGCTGCGGGGAAAACTCCAACGAAAGGTTCCAGCCCTTTGAAAGCGACGGTGTTGCAAGGATTTGATGTCCTTGAAGCACCTTAAAACTATTGAGTTGAGTTGCCCTCTTGCTGGAAGACCTTTGCCTCTCTGAGAGTTGCAAAGGCATCGGTGATGTTTCGGACTTCGATCATTTCGTCAGTGCGTTAGTGATGTTTTCCAGCAAAGTCTTCATCCTCGTGATTCAAGGGCCACGGATCCCGAGGGAGTTCTGCATTCCTCGTAGCTCCTTGATCTTGGAAAGACATTGCGGCTCAGGGTCGCGTGCAACCAGCAAAGTGCTTGAATCACCTTGAATCCCTGATTTCAAAAATTTCAAGAACTGGTTTCTGGAGGCTGGGTGCAGAGTGCTAGTACGGCTGGTTCATGATGTCCTTCAGCCGCCAGGTCTGGTTCCAATGGTTTTTATGACCTGTGACTGACAGGATGACCTGGTGGCTTTTGAAAGCAGAAGCATTTCAGTTGGCCACACTCTGGGAAAATGCGGCTGTCACACAGAGGTCGCTTAAACAAGAGCAGAAGTTGCATGCGTGTTTCTTAGGAGGTATCGGATTGGAAAACCAAACGAGCAATAAACGAGCTATGTAAACGCGTTGATTTCAGAGACTGCATTGCCACTGATTTTCCGAGATCTATACAGAGATGGTCAGAGCCGTCCAGCAGCCGTTACAGTAGTAGAACTGTGGGCATTGACACCATGGCGGGTGTTTCTTGTCTGAAGTCTAAATGATCCAAGCTGGCTGGACATAGGCCTGGAGCACAACTACAGGCATCAGTTCTCTTGCACGACATCAAATTGCATTCATGAAAGTGCTGCACCTTGCTGCACTGATTCCTATTCTCAGTTGCACCAGTCCCTGAACAGCTTCGATCTCTTGATATCTCTTGATATCTCTTGATATCTCTTGATATCTCTTGATATCTCTTGATTCTTTGTGGTCATTTTGAGGTTCTTCGCTTTTGTTTGCTGCTGGGGGCTGTCTTGGCCGATGACAGTCTGGCTCTCAGATGGGCAGCAGGGACCCGACCTGGTCATTTCCCTCAGCTGTGTGCTGAGGCCTGTTCGATTCAGCAGCGCCTTGGCGGACAAGAGATGGTTTTGCTGGGCGACACGGAGCACGTGTTGACAAGTATCGATTGTGATATATTATATTTATATATTTGGAATGCTTTAGAATACCTTGGAACGGTGTAGGTATGAACAATAAACCGGGGCATTCAAGGTTTGATTTTCCCGGGCAGAGCTGTGCAATGAGGCCTTGGATGACCCGTTGGCAGACTCCCCACCCAAAGACGTGAAAACCCTGCAAGTCTCTCAGTGGCAGCGCTGCAGCATGCTGTGCGTATGCGTGGCATGCTGGTGACTGGTCTGAGGGGAGAGCAACCACAGCAAGTACAGCAAGTCCAGCAGCCTGAACAACCTGAGCAGTCTGCTGCTGAGGTATAGCTTGATGCTTGATGTACTTGTTTCATCTTATTTCAACTCATTTCTCTTAAGATTGGTCTCGATTTGCATCCATCGTTATTCTTTGAGAATTCATGCAACAAGCTTGGCATATGTGATTAGATACAGCGGCTGCGTGTTCTTAGGAAACCGAGTCTAATCATCATGTAGGTTGTCGTGTGAAGTGTGATATGTGATATGAAGTGATATGTAGATATTTTTGGAAGACATGAACCGAACCCCGGCGATTCCTATTCGTTGATGCTACAGGCCGGAGCAACGTGAGTTGCCAGCCAAGGAGAACTGGCCAGGGTGAGGGGTTTGGGAACAGATTGAAAGGGTTGGACTTTGACTTGGTGCGGGCGATTCTTCCATGTTGGAAGCTGGAGTGCAAGCCCCTTCGTGGTGTTTGCCGCAGGAGTGGGAACAGTATGTTCCTGGCTTTGCTCAAGGAATGGCGCGCAAATCGAGAGAGCCGCGAAAGCCACGGGAGTCACGAGCTAGCCTTAGATGATCAATTTCCAATCCTTGAAGGGACCTGAACCAGTTTGTGGAGCCTTCGGGGCCCACGATATTTTGTGAAGTGGTGGTACCGAAAAAGAACCAATGGCCACCCGTATCATGTGCCGACAACTTCACTGAGGAAATGGTGCAGCCGCGGCAACGCCTCCTTCTTAGAACATCTCAACTTGTTTATCCCCTTGCACAGTGTGCCTCGGAGCAGACTTTTGAGCCAATGGAGTCACCTGTGACAGGTTGCGCAGGTTGTGCTGTGTTGGCCTAGGCTCTTCGGCCAGCAACCCCAACAGAAGCCGCAGCCGGAGCAGCCGCAACAGCCTGAACAGCCGGAACAGCCGGAGCAAGCTGAACAGCCAGAACAGCCAGAACAGCCAGAACAGCCAGAACAGCCAGAACAGCCAGAAGAGAAGGAGAGCGAAGATGGCTGTGGTAAGCTGCGGGCCAATTTTCTTATGTTGATCGAGTTGGCAGCTTGGGTTCTGGGGCTCTCAAATTCTTCGTGAGACGGATTGGCAGGAAATATGTCATGATCCCTGCAAAACAGTGCATCGTGGATATGGGACACTATGAAGATCCCCAAGCCCAAAGATGGTGGCAATTCCTGGTCTTGAAACCTCCATTTTTACCCATAGCTGGAGCCCTGAGATCCGGTCCAGGACTGGCAGAAGTATGTCCCTGGCTTCGGAAAGGACTTCTCCCATGGCCGAATTCTTGATGTTTGGAGCGCCTCCAGTGGTTGTCTTGTTGCGTTCAATGACTGGATCCAGCAGAACATCCAATGGTCTTTAGAGACCTCAAGATCCTCAAGTTGAAACATGGGGGCTTGGTGAAACGTAACACCGATGGACATTTGGAGCATTTTGGAGCCAAAGTGGTATCATCAGTAAACTAGGGTCTTGCCCATTAACCACACACGGGGGTCTTCGTTCAGCAAGCAACTAAAGTGGGCAGCCTCCCTGTCATTTAAGTTGTCATGTCTGGAGCGTGCTTGCCGAGGCCGCCATTTTGGCTCAAAACAGAGAGGGCCTTTTGAAGACCCATGGTTGATATTTGCTAACTGTTTAATTCTTGAATTTATTTGATTGTATTCATTTCAGAGGTTCGAAGTTTGCTCCTTGCCATAGCTGTGCCAGACATGCCAGCTCTGGCGCGTCGGGGCTTCCTGTGGCTCTGTCCACTGTTGGTTTTCACGGTGTATTGGCCAAGAAATTTCATGAGTCGAGCAGGTTCTGCTGGTTCAGCTTCCCAGTCCTGTCAGGCTGCAGCTTTAGGTTCCAACCCAGACAGAAAGGAATTGGAAGCCTTGGACCGTGACATCCCCAGATATGTGCTGAAAGCAGCCGAAGGCAATGAACGTTTGGCCCTCCAGCGCTGGGCTGAAACCTTGCGGTGGAGGTGTGAGATTGGTGATGAAGATCTGTTTCGCAGGCCAAATCCAAACTTTTTTACGATTCAGAAACACTACCCCACGTACCTTCACCTGCCTGACAAGAGAGGACGGCTCACATATTGGCAGCGGGCTGGCCGCTTGAATCCAACCGGACTGCTGAATGAGGGAATGTCGCCTTCACTGGTCAGAGACGACTATGTTTGGCAGACGCTCTTTGCATATGACTTGTGGTTGAAACGCGATGACAGACAGGAAATTACCATCATTGTAGATATGGAGGGATTCAGTCTCTCGAAGATTACTCCCACAATGCTTCGCATTTTTTCACTGAGTTATTCCATTATCCAGAAGCATTTTCCTGACCGCGAACATCTTGTTGTGGTCATCAACGCACCTGAATGGTGGGGAGCAATTTGGGCATTTTTCAAGCCCCTGCTGCCGGCGAAGCAGCAACGAAAACTGAGAGTCAGCACCAGCCAGAAGGAGTCATTCTTGACTTTGCAGGATATCCTAGACCGAGACAGCATACCTGAAGAATATGGTGGTTCTGGAGTACCCTTGGGCTCTGCCCCTGCTGAAATGATGCGGCGACAGTATGCTTCAAATGGAACGCCAAAGCAATGACCAAAATGCCGGATGGAAATTCTTTTCGCTGTCGCAAGGATAGCCAGAAGATGGGATGCCTCGGGGCTGCCATCTCATAGACCCTGGTAATCTGCAAAAAAGATCAAAAAAGAGCTTGCATCGACAGATCGTCAGTCGGGTCGTTGTGACGTTTTCTAGTGACTGGTGGCGATCTTGGTCAACTTTTGATCAGGGATGTCAGCACCAATTACGTTGAGGTAAGAAGTCTGACTCCAAAGACGCCAAGGACAAGGACCGGGCTGTGTGCCATGGACCATGTAAGACAATTTGTTGCTGCGAAGACACCCTCCCACTGATGTGCACTGCAAGGACGAGAAGAAGCATCCTGCTATGTTCTTCGCACAGCCTGTGTCTTAGTTTCAAGCTGCACAGAAACCAGTGAACTCCGCCAGAAAGAGGAGGAGCTCCTGCAGACTCGGCTTGTTGCATGCATGATGAAGCGACTGTCCTTGAGAAATTCTGATGGATTCATGGCCGTCCCTTCTATTAGCCAAGGGAATGCTGAACAATCTGAATGCTGTGATGTCTTTTTTGTTTTGAACTTGTGGCTCGTCCAAGTGTTCCGATAAAGACTGCCCTGCCAAGGAATCTGGGTTTCATGGGGGAGCAGCTGCTTGGCATGCGAGATATGCAAGATACACAGACACAGTACTCATCAGTACTCTGCATCCGGATTCATAGTATCTGATAGTTGCCACAAACAAAACCACAGCGAGAAGAGCGTGTCACAGGCAAATGTTGTCAACAGGCTTCGCAGCAATTTTGCAGTTCTTTCAATCTGTCGCTTCCGCTCACTTAGTGCTATCGCAGTTGGAAGTTGTAAGCTTTGGATCAGATTTGGACTGCCCCTAAGGCCACAACAGAAGCCACAACCTCAGCAACCTCAGCAACCTCAGCAGCCAGAGCAGCCTGAGCAGCCGGAGCAGAAAGTCGTTTGGCTGGCCTGTTGGATCTGAGGATAGAGGAGCCGAAGCTAGAAGTAAACTTAAGTAAACCAGCTTCAACATTTGTGCATTTTTTCAATACTTGTTTGTCCGTACTTGCCATCTACGATGAGCTTTGGCAGCCGATGGTCTACCAAACCTTATAGTCGGTGTCAGAAAGCAGCTGCTTCCCTGTGCCAGAATTGGCAGAAGTTCGTCCCATCCATTGCAAATGGCTTTTCGGGCAACTATGTGCAGAAGGGCCAGATGCCCAGTAAGCCTGGTCTGCAAAGTGAAACCGCAGCTGAACGGAAAACACTACTCCGAGCATCTTCAAGCATCTTCAAGCTGTTGACTTCGGCTCCAGCAATGATTTTTTCGACCCGTAATATTGCTACGGATGTGGCCACGAGGTGAAGAGGAGCAGCAGAAGCGGGTGCAGAAGCGCCTTGAGGAAGAGAAGAAGGACAAGGACAAGGCGGGACTTGGCGATAAGGTTTCCAAGTAATTGCACATATTCCTTTCCAATTTCCGTTCTTCTGTTCCTTTCCACTTTGTTCTTATACTGTCAATGCAAATGCTGTGATGTTCCTGCATGTCTCAGCCCCCCGCCCCCCCCTCTGAAACACTATGTTGCATCTTGAGCATCACAACAGATCAACATCCCGGCACCCCCTCTAATCACTATGTTGCATCTTGAACTTCACAAGAGATCTAACCTCGCCACCCCCTCTGAACACTATGTTGCATCTTGAACTTCACAAGAGATCTAGCCGCGCCACCCCCTCTGAACACTATGTTGCCTCTTGAACTAGAGATCAAAACCCCTCAACCCTCTCTGAAACACTATGTTGCATCTTGAACTTCACAAGAGATCAAAACCCCGCCACCCCCTCTGAACGCTATGTTGCATCTTCAGCGCCATGAGAAACTAAGTGCAGAAGTGAAACCGCAACATAATGCGAAGTAAAGCAGACCTGGCGCAGATTACCCACTGTTGCTATCACCTGTGTTTTAGTCAAACTGGGTCTCTAGAGAGATAAAACACGAGCGCAGCAGTGACCGGCAGTGGGCATTTTTTTGTTTCCTATCTGGACGCTTTGGTTTCCGAAGAATCCTTGGTTTCTGAAGAATCTGTTTTGGTTTCCGAAGAAGACCTTTTGGTTTCAATATACTCCTTGGTTTCCGAAGAAATTACGAAAGCTAGCTTGTGCTAGCTGAAGTTGCTCTTGCTTTAGCAAGGAATAGGCAGGCGCCAGGACCGTTGGAAACCCTGAAACTTTCCAGTTTGAACCCCCCCCACTGGCCGGCCCGGGTTCAATCTCCCCTGGTCCCCCTCGACCCCCCTTCGACCCTTCTTAGATGCCCCCTGTATCTGCGCCCTGACCCCTCGACGTGGGTTGTCATCTCAATAATTCATTTTCAGCATTTCATAGTCAGCATTTGCATCAACATCATCGGCTGGTTTTATGGCAGGTACAGGTTTCTATGTCTTTATCCGTTTATCTTCACCTTCTTCATTTTCATCTTCTTCTCGAGCGTTGTCATCATCATTGTTGTCGTCGTCGTCGTCGTCGTCGTCATTGTCGTCATCATCATCATATGATCAGCACTGTCATTGAATTCATTCCTACTCAGTTCAGCAGTTTACTCTTGTAGTTGCGCAGTCTCCAGTACAACATTAGTAGATCCTGCTAGCTTTCGTACCTCCGCCCTGGCCTCAAGTGTTTTTGGTTTCCGAACAATGCTTGGTTTCCGAAGAATCCTCTTTGGTTTCCGAATAATATTTTTTGGTTTCCGATTTTAAACCCATCCCAAACCGACAGAATGTGTAATTTTGTTTCTGGGAAGAGACCCTCCTTTCTACTGCCTGACATTCTGACTCTGATGTGCACTGCAAGGACGAGAAGAAGCATCCTGCTATGTTCTTCGCACAGCCTGTGTCTTAGTTTCAAGCTGCACAGAAACCAGTGAACTCCGCCAGAAAGAGGAGGAGCTCCTGCAGACTCGGCTTGTTGCATGCATGATGAAGCGACTGCCCTTGAGAAATTCTGATGGATTCATGGCTGTCCCTTCTATTAGCCAAGGGAATGCTGAACAATCTGAATGCTGTGATGTCTTTTTTGTTTTGAACTTGTGGCTCGTCCAAGTGTTCCGATAAAGACTGCGCTGCCAAGGAATCTGGGTTTCATGGGGGAGCAGCTGCTTGGCATGCGAGATATGCAAGATACACAGACACAGTACTCATCAGTACTCTGCATCCGGATTCATAGTATCTGATAGTTGCCACAAACAAAACCACAGCGAGAAGAGCGTATCACAGGCAGATGTTGTCAACAGGCTTCGCAGCAATTTTGCAGTTCTTTCAATCTGTCGCTTCCGCTCACTTAGTGCTATCGCAGTTGGAAGTTGTAAGCTTTGGATCAGATTTGGACTGCCCCTAAGGCCACAACAGAAGCCACAACCTCAGCAACCTCAGCAACCTCAGCAGCCAGAGCAGCCTGAGCAGCCGGAGCAGAAAGTCGTTTGGCTGGCCTGTTGGATCTGAGGATAGAGGAGCCGAAGCTAGAAGTAAACTTAAGTAAACCAGCTTCAACATTTGTGCATTTTTTCAATACTTGTTTGTCCGTACTTGCCATCTACGATGAGCTTTGGCAGCCGATGGTCTACCAAACCTTATAGTCGGTGTCAGAAAGCAGCTGCTTCCCTGTGCCAGAATTGGCAGAAGTTCGTCCCATCCATTGCAAATGGCTTTTCGGGCAACTATGTGCAGAAGGGCCAGATGCCCAGTAAGCCTGGTCTGCAAAGTGAAACCGCAGCTGAACGGAAAACACTACTCCGAGCATCTTCAAGCATCTTCAAGCTGTTGACTTCGGCTCCAGCAATGATTTTTTCGACCCGTAATATTGCTACGGATGTGGCCACGAGGTGAAGAGGAGCAGCAGAAGCGGGTGCAGAAGCGCCTTGAGGAAGAGAAGAAGGACAAGGACAAGGCGGGACTTGGCGATAAGGTTTCCAAGTAATTGCACATATTCCTTTCCAATTTCCGTTCTTCTGTTCCTTTCCACTTTGTTCTTATACTGTCAATGCAAATGCTGTGATGTTCCTGCATGTCTCAGCCCCAATATGAAACTATGCTTCCTCTGGAAGAAGCGAGTTTGACAAATTTGATTTTTGGATCACTGGGCATTGCTCCTTGCGCTGCATGACAGGCTCCAGCTTTCCTTTTCGCCCAGTCCCTCCCTTGGGAAGTGGTCAGTTCTGCCTCCGTGGGTTGATGAGACCCGCTTCTAACCCTTACAAGCTATGCTAACCTCAAGGAATCCTTGCCTAACCCCAACATGGGTGGATTTTGTCTAACCTCAAAATTTCCTTGACCCTTGGTGCTCGTGCGTGGGTTGATGCTTTCGATTATTGGACATGGCCCACGGTCGGTATATAATTGATTACATTGATTCTGATATAATATATTATATATATATTATAGTATGCATATGTATATATATATAAATTGCGCTCGGCATTTGATGTTTCTACTGCTAGTTTTGATCCAGATCAACCAACTAAACCAACCAGTACAAAGGATTGAATGATGTGGAAACTCTGTCGCTCTCTCTCTCTCTCTATATATACATATACACACTTATAACTTATAACTTATAACTTGGATCAGCGGTGGACCCCTTTCAGCCAAGTTTTCCGTGGGACAAATTAGCCGCTGACCCCTTAGGTCTGACTTGAGCAGGGATGAGGTCAAGGAGGAGTCAAAGACTGCCGTGAATCGCACCAGGATGCACTTTGTAGAGGGAATTCCTCTTTATGGTGAACACTTTCTGTTTTGCAGACCCGCAAATCTTGCCAGTGCTATTATATTTCATGTTTCGTTACATTTTATCAGGGCAACTGGGTTCGCTGCAACAGCACCTGTTTCTCTAAATATTTCACGTGTCCAGCAAGACCCCCGCATTTTGGAGAAACAATTATTCCAAGTCCATTGATTTACGTATGTAGACTCGACCAAAAAACAAGAAGAGAAAGGGATTGATGTTTTGATTTCTTTGACGAGAGCTTCGCTCCAACCCAGTTTGTAGCCACCTTTTCTGCACTGAGTTATGAACGCTGACATTCTTCACTGCTTGACCTGGTGATGGATCCATTACCCGAGGAGGAAAGTCTGCAGGCTGTCTCTGCAGCGGAGGCAGCAGAGTCACACGCACGTGCACGCTGGGGAACTTACACGATCCTTTTTCCAGGCTTTTATTCAGGTCTTCCTGAGGTCCTTCCATAACTGGGGGTTACCCCTAAATGGATAATTCATGATTTAAAAAAATGAAATGGATGATTTGGGGGTACCTCCATTTGTGGAAACCCTCTAATGTACAGTACCCCTCCCTACCACCTTGATTGTGGCATGACACGTGTGGAGTCCACCGCTGAGGTGCTCAAGCCTCCTTGGATCACTTGAAGGGCGTTTCCTGGAAGGACATCATCCGAAAGGCCCGTGGCAGTTGCGAGATTCTGGCCGACAGTCCAGAACACAGGTTGGGAACAATTAACACCAGGAAACATCAGGAATTTTATCAACCTACCAGAGCTGAGGATTTTTTTCTGTGGGGTTGTTCTGCAACCATTTTCTTCACAGAGGATTTTGCTTTCCGAAAAGAAAGGTCTCCGACTGGGGCACTGTGGACGAGCTGTCCGCTTCTGCCACTCAAAAGGGTGCTCATGGCCAGGGCTCTCAGAAATTTGATGAGCATTGTGCACATTGGGAAACTTCCGGAATTGGTTGGAACATGTTGGAAATGCATTCGGATATCATACTTTCATATTCATATACTTTGTATTGTACTTGCTATCATATGCTTTCGAAACCTTTCTAGTGGCGTTACTGGTGTTTCAGAGCCGGGTCAGGGTTTGAAAATCTTTGCCGGTGTATGAATGCGCAAGCAACATCAAAGATTGTTCGTTTGCAGACCCCACATGCCAAACATGTACCGACCATGGCTTGGACTAAGCCTGGGAGAATGCTCTGGAGGAAAGGACCAAGGCTGGGCACCGGTACGCGTGTGCTTGGTGGTCTCTCGTGAGAGTGGCTGAGTGACTTGGACCTGAGAGGTCTTGCAGAAGTTCAACAAAAAGCCTCGCAAGAATGTCTTGGACTTCAATGCATCCAGGGTTGAGAGCTTGGTTCGAAATGGCAGCTGCACAGTGCCGCACACTTCTTGTGGGGAGGTCATGAAGAAGGTGAGGACAGGTTCGTGAGCTGCCAGTCACAATCAGTCCAATCATGTCTGAAGTGACATGGATTTGACATGGATGTGTCTCAGGATGTTTCAGGATTTACCGAAGTGGTCTCTGTGGGCCCGGAAAGTCATGTCTCGAAGCATCACGCATTTTGGATCCTTTTTTTTGACATGCCCATATTATAATTACATATAAAAAAACAGTATTCTCTTTGGGTGATGGGTCATCTCCCATAATCCCAAGATTTTGAAGAGTATATTTTCCTGATTCAATCGGCCATTTGGAGGTCCCGATTTTCATCCATACCCAGGCAGTGGAGCTCGTCTATGCAGTCGAGACTGCCGCGGCGCACGTGGAGCTCAACGATCGCAGGAGCTCATTCCATTCCTACCGTCCCAAACAATCCCCCCACGAATTGCCAACAATGATCCCCAGAATCTTCAGATTCTGGGCCAATCTGATGAAACCAGGAAACTTGTTATTTACAGATTTTACAGTAAGCTTCACCATCCAATGGAGCTGGAAAAGAACTTCAATATGTCAGTCTCAGAAGCCATGTGGGCAACATGCCGTGCTGTGTCAGTCGCTTGGATTTGCCGACTTGATCATACCCTGCGAGGAAAGAGGAGAGCATGAAGCATATTCCTCAGGATTGGAGTGTGTTGCATAGCGTTTGGGATTGGGATCCGCTAAACGTTTTCACACCGATACACCGCTCGCGCACCGATACACCGATACACCGATACACCGATACACCGATACACCGATACACCGATTGCCGTTCATTTAGGGATTGGGCTTGGCTTGTTTGGGGTTTATTGTTCTTATTGAATTTTAGATTTTGTTTAGGGTCTATTTAGGGTAGGTGTTTGGGTTTATTTTGGCTGGGCTTAGGTTGAGGTTTATTTGGGGTTGGTATGTTGGGCAACAGGGATCCGTGCTGACCATTTGCCGATGATTTTTGGTTTCCCTACAGTTGCAATCCTGCAATGCTTTGTCTATGCTGGACTTATCTCAGTGGTTTTTGCAGAGATGAGTGAAACTTTGAAGTTAACTTTGCTGTTAGCATAGCATCAAGGTCGTCGTTGAAGAAAACGCGCTATGCCGCCGTGCAGCACGTCAAAGACTCAGAGTTTCTCCAATTCTAGCCGTTAGCTGCGCATGTTTTGACACATGGTCAGTTGAGAGCCACAAGAGAAGAAACCGGCTTGATCCAGATTGGACTCATTGGACATATTTGTATATATATATAGATTTGGTGATTTGGTAGTGATTGGTGTCTGATTCTATATATTTGTATATATTTGTATAATATAATATATTATAATATTATATAATTTGTATATGCATGAAATCATGAAATGGTTAAATTTGGTGAGGTGAAGTCCTTGGAGTTCGAAACCCGCGATGCCGCGCATCAGTGGAAGGCGGTTTTTTAAAACGGATGAACTTCAGATGGCTGGATATTTCGAGGAAATTTACTGCGTCAACAGTCAATTCACCATTAGTGAATATAGAAAATTAACTGATGAATAGAGGATATATTAACCAGGATATTCATCATTATTCATCTATATTCACTGGTCATTAGTTGTTATTGTATGTTATTGTATGTTATTGTATGTTATTGTATGTTATTGTTTCCATTTGTCTCTATAAACTTGTATCAAACAACTCCCAAACATTAACCGGGGATTTCCGGGGTTTCCACCTGATGTGACTTGTACCCCCTTGTGGCATGCCACCAGCCTATAGCCAGGCCGTTGGCAAGCAAGCTGTCAAGGCTCAGAGGCTGTAAACTCAGCCGGCATTTTACGGACGTTTGCCGTGCAGTTGAGTTGAAGAAACAATTGGAAACACACGAGATGACTATAGAATCTATAGATGACTTGGGTACATGACTTCAGATCGTAGAAAATCGCACAGTCGAGATATGCACAGTGAGTTCACACTGTCACCGAGGTTTGCGCACATGTCTGAGAATGTCTACGAGCGACATGAAGACGTGATGAGGGATGCCGTCGGGGATGTTTCCAACCGTCGACCGATGCATCGTTAAGCAGATACTTTGTCCGGACGTGTTGAAGGCTTTGAACTTGGGAGTTAATTCCTGGGAAAGTTGAGAAAGTGGTTGTTCTGACCAGGCTTTGTTGGAGGCCGAGTTGTTGGGTGAAACTCCCCATGGATTCAAATGCCAGGGGCAGAGAACATTGCGGACAGGCTGAAGGACCAGGTGGGCTGCTCAGAGTGGCTTGTGGATACCATCACTAAACACGCCTGGACCAAAGACTCGTACTCAGACACTCAAGAGACATGGACCGTCCTTCTTGACATCACTGTGGTGTTTGCTTGACATTGCTTGACCATGTTTGTGAAAGTAATTATATACTCTACTCTAATATATATACTCTAATCGTATTGGGTTTCTCCGATGGGAACCAGGTCCTTCCTCTCCAGTGATCTTTCGACAGGTCAACGACTACTTCTCCCACATTGAGGACGAGGTGCAGCGATCATCCTTTGACGGGCGCAGCAGGCGTGGGACGGGCGCAGCACTGGGATGACTGTGATTTGTGGTGCAATCGGAACATAATGCATGGCAATAGTATTATATTATATATGTGGGTTTGAAGATTTCGAGCAACAGTATTAGTAGCCTCTGTCTGTGGCTATTGTTAGTGTTCACAAGATCACAGTCTTTCTTCTGAACCACAGCGCTGAAAGAGGATTGCAGATCATTGCAGGTCTACAAGTATTTGTGATAGTTCTCAGGACAGGTGGATGATGTTGGAACAACATTCCACTTCCATACCTCAAGTGACTCAAGTTCATTTTGAGTATTATCCATTCAATTATTGACATTATTGAGGTAGATTTTCCCATCTATTTTCCTATGACCTGCGCGGCAGGGAATTGCTGAGCGAGTCCAGGAAGGCGATCAGCGAGCTGCATGAGGCGAGGTTACCAGGTTTGTTGGAGACGCCTCCATCAAGGTCCAAGTCATTTGTATGACTTCGTATATTCTGTATATACTAAGTATATACTGTATATTTATTTTTACATCATCATTTTTCTTTGAACAGGGGGCATTCAAATCGACAATCGATATGTACATGTTACATGAGTATACACCCATGTATACCCCCCGGTAGATATACGCCTAAGGCCTATCAAGTTTGGTCTATTGAATTGAACCTGAGGGCGACTTTCACTACAAAGACACCACTGAGCCGCCACGCAGGTGACGGAACGATTGGGCGCTCAAGCTGCTTATCAGGAGGCTGTGAAAAAAATCCTGCCAGTGTCGTCCAGTTTAGGGAGAACTTGGGGAGAAATCATACCAATGGTCTTTCCATGTTTTGTTTTTTTGAATTGTTGTTTCTTTGGAAGTTGGCCTCAGAGGATCAACCATGATCAACCTATATCAACCTGTATCAGCCTGTTGGTTCTTCAACGAATTTGTGACGAAATTCTGTCAGAAGCCGCTCCAGGCAGAGTCATCTGCTCGCTTCAGAGAGGAGGAGAAGCGATGGGTCATGGTCTCAGCCGCAGGATATCCTACTGAAGTGGGAGGATATGTGAACATAGTGCTCCTAGACTCCTATGGAAATGTATGGTGTTTCCAATGTTTTGTAGTCCCATGCTGGTAGAAAAGAGGATAAACAAGTGCATGAATCGTGCCTAACAAAAACGGTTCGCAGTGCTTCACTCATGTTGAAGCGGTGTGATTTGGAATGCTTTTAAAGATGGTTCTGGCCTGCAGCTTTTGAGTTTGTATGCTGCAGAGAGCGATGACCAGATTTATATACACTTTACAAAAAGAAATATAGGTCCAATTGTGGGAATATTATCTTCCCCTCGATTTATGTTGCAGAGTGATTCGGACTCCATTTCATCTACTGGCCGAGGAATCCTACCAGAGCCCAAAGGCGTGGCACTGGGACACTAGGGCACTGGGGCACTGGGGCACTGGGCGCTGGTTTCCAAGGTTCAACAGTGGTCCAACCTCTAGCAGAAAGCTGGCGAAAGCTGACCTGCATTCAGAAGGAAATTCCAGGATTCACGATGCATTGTGAAGTTTTGATCCAAAGGCGAACCATTTCCATTGCAAAAAATTAAGCCGTGAACCAGGAGATCCGGAAGATTTGAACTGCGGGACTTTTGCACCTTAAAGCGGACTCTGGGAGACACAACCATGGGTACGTTTTAAAAGACTTACTCGCAGATGCTCTTCGCCGTTCCAAGCGAAATGATGGTGAAGAGGCACGCGGGGTGAAGCTGGGGTTCAGGTGCATAACTCTGCATAACATGGGGAATCCGATCCTTCGGCTTTTGTACACAAAGTTCCAGTAAAGATGTGGCAAAAAAATGCAGAGACCCGTCACATCCATTCAGCAAATCCACCACCAAACCGTGTCAGTTCCGTCCTCTTCGCTGGCGTCGGCTCCTTCGCACTGGTCTTTGCATTGCTGAGGCTGGGAAAGCATACGCTGGGACGACCTGCAAATCATCACAATTTTATGATTGCACATACCCTGTCTTGCTCCTGGGATAGAGTCCGGATAGGGGACATATGGGGATATAGGGGTTCCTGCCAGGGCACTGATACTGCGCAGGATATCCTTCCCGCAACCTCGCAACCTTGCAAGGCGTCGCCAGATTTCCAGGCCCTTGGACATTGAGGTGGGGTTCGAAACATTTTGAAGCTGATGGTGGATTTTGCTGCTACTATGTAATCAATTTGGTGGTCCTCAGAACTATGGTGACTCATCCAATCCATGGGAGAAGTGCTCAGCTGTGTTGCTATCATTCCTCTCCAAAAACCTCGACATCCGACAGCATCTCCTTCGCAGGCTCCACCTCTCCTTGGCTGAGCGCGGATTTTGAGCTGCGAGGTGGTCAAGTGCTAAATGATAGCATGTGCTGGACAGAACATATCAGATGATCCTATGATCCTTTCAAGATTCGACATTTTGTTGTGATAGTGGAGCAGTGACCATTGAGAATGGCAAATGATAACATGGTTTGTCGATGTTTGTCGCAGTATTTGTTTTGCTGAGATTTCACCTTGCTACTTTCGGCTGCTGGGGGTTGAGCAGCGCCCTGTTTGAAACAAGGGCTGATTATTTTGGTTTCAAGGTATGAGGTGCCAGCTTCACCAGCTTGACCAGAACAGAAACGTTCAAACTGAAGCGAAGCTGAGCTGCTGAACATGAAGCTGGCACCTGACCTTCTTTGGTTTGTACATCTTCAACTCTTGGGCGGGTCTCCAGTGTCGACTTGGGAAATGCTCTTTTCAGTTTTTTTCACTGGACAAGACCTGTGTGCACAGAGATGTTGCTGACACTGGAGTACGCATTGTCAATAGCCACTGCCAATTTAAAGGAGCAAAACAGCTTTGCTTCCTTGGTTCGGCCGGCTTTGCCTGTCCCCGCTGCTTTCCTGCGCGGACTACACCTTTTGACGCTGAGGTTGGAATCCCTTGTTACTTTCAGGAGTTCAAACAGACATAGAACAGACAGTTGCAATGATTGACATTGAACAACATTCAACATATTGAGCATGTTACCACAATTCTGCACCTTGGCGATCGAGGTTTTTCAAAGCCGCAAAACAGCCGCCCATTGACAGTCGCCATATTCAATGTCATGGGGATTCACTCAAGGTGTCAATGTCTTGAATCGTTTCAGTTTCCTGACAACTCTGACTTTCCTGTCACTGTGATCTCCTGGAAGCTTTGATTGAATCATCCGCATGCCGTTTGCAGCAGTGCTCACCACCGTGGTGCAGTTTAGGCACTGTAGGCTGACCCGGCCTTGAGCATTTGTGCATAGCAGCGATTGCCTAAGAAGCTCAGAGATGTACATCTGGAGGCAAGACAAGGCAAGACAAGTAATTCTTCTCTCTTTCCTGGATGAATGTTCTTGACTTGGCCTTTCCTTTGATCCGGTTTTGGAATTGTTCAGAAACTTGCAGTGGGTTCTGACAGAAGACAAGTAGTGACATATTGTTGCATGGTCTGACACTCAGGTCAGGTACACTTTGGAGTGTTCTGTTGCACAATGTCCCAGCCTGGCCACGCAACCGACTGGCTCCATTCTCAGCCTCAATGGTGCCGTGCATTGCGGTCCAGCATTTTGGGAGTCATGCGCAGCCCCAAAGACTTAAGTCTTTTGAGAATTGGAGGGAGATTGAAAGTTGGATGCTAAGATGCTGAGGTTTCCCTTTTCCTAACTTGTGAGATGCCCATCTCACCAGATCCTCGCAGAGGCCACCGTTTTGAGCCACTGTGAGGCAAAGCGCTTGCATCCCGCCAACAATCCGCAGTACGGTGTCCGAGTGAAGCGGCGTCAATGATTCAACGATCATTTAGGGGACATTTTGGTTCAATCCCCGATAATCCCCAATGGAAGAGCCTTGTGGGGTGATAGCATTTCACATGCGGGACAACAATCTTTCAGACGGAGCGTTCTTGTCTTGAGGGATGGCTCTGGTTGTCAGAGTCGCTGGCAAGCGCACAGAATTGAAATCCAATCGCAACGACGATCCTATCTCACCAACCCTGGCATTGCTAGTGAAATTAGTGAGAAAGAAGACTCAATCCAATTTCTGTGGAACCTGAGGACCATGGAATGTCTGGGAGAACTTCCTTGAGGACAGGGACTTTGGATGTGGGTGTCGCACCAGCTGGTGCACGATTTGCACACATCATAGCTTTAAAGTGTTTTAGAATGAATTGGATTGGTGAAGCATCATCCCTGAGACTCTTGGAATATGGAAGTTGTCTCGGAATTTTCTTAGCAGAAAGCACCAGGAACCCATCATAATTCAAGCTGTAGCACTGTTGTAGGACCATGTGGCTGAAGCATCCAGTCAGGCAGAGGAGGCACTGTCCCTGTGCCTTTGGGGCCATTGAGTGGCACTCATGCAGTGGCAATGCCAGAGTTGCAATGGTCAGGTGACTCCCGAAATCAGAGAGCAGATAGCCTCGGTGCAGGCTGTCAGTGGTGCTGTTGCACTTGCCGGCAATCATTTGGAAACCCAGAAAAGCTACCATCACTGAGTTGTTCACCTGATGTGAATTGATTTGACGGATTTGCACTTGAATCGTTGGCCAATAGTTTGCACTGTTATATAAGTTATATAAGTTATATGACTTGTTCCGCTCAGATTTGCAGATTCAGCATGTGCCCCCATGCTTAGGCGAAAGGCGCGAAGATGGCTTTCCTGCTGCTGGATGAATCGGTGCAGCAACAATACATAGAGGTGCCTGCCAGTGCCTGGGCTGTCGGGCTTTGCATGTCGCTTATGCTGCTGGGAAGCAGGTGAATCCCCCCCATGAATCCCCCTGGAAAAGACTCTGTTTCCAAAAAGAGAGCAAGGACACTGCTTTAGCCAGAGACAGCGTTGATTGAACAACTTCAACTATGTTGTCATCAAAGCAGATTGTATGAGCATACAGCTAATTCAGTTGTCCTACCTGGCATCCTTCTGCGACTCGTATTGGCACAAACTGGAGAGCAAACTGAAGCCCAACAGATATCCAAAGTGAAAGTCCCGAACACAGCCACAGCCAGGGAAAGTGGAATTTATTATGTCTAAAACAACTGTCCAACATATGAAGGCAGCGCAATTGGAGGAAGTGCCTGAATCCAAACCTCAAACAAGCAAACTGAACAAAGACTAGTCGTGATTCGTGCTCACAACTCGCAAGTTGGAATCAGCACACTTGACTTGGCAACCAGAAGCGCTTGCAGAGTCTGAGATGCAACAAGGAAACAAGTGCCAAATGCGCAAGCATTCAACCTTTGCTGACACAAACGGTCCGAAGCAGCACCCAAAATGCGACAAATCACTGGGATTCACCAGGTTTGTCAACGACATTGTGGCCCATCCACTCAAATCCTGGACTTTTCAGTCCAGTCGCATTAGATGCTCTTGATAAACCCAATGGATTACATGATTAAACAAGCGAGTGCAAAGAAAAGGGAAACGGGCTTAAGCAAACCCCGAAATCTGAAGCAACAGGCAATATGGTGAGCATTCTGGCTGGCAAGTTTTGGGACCCCCACACCACTCCGATGTGTTCTATTTTAGGATCTATATTTGGGAACGCAATTTCTCAGACACGAAGCCTGGTGTTTTTTGCCAGGTGTCCTACCAAGAGTTGGCAGCCTTCGCGAACTGGCGTAGATCGCAGGCTGTCCCCACATGATTCGGTGGGCACAGAAGCAGAGAACGGAGACCTTGTCGATCATTTTTTTTCTGCGAGATACTGCAACTGGGAGATACTTTACTGCGAGATGTTGTTTGGTTTCTTGAATTCCTCTAGTGCTTTGCATCACTGTCATATACCGTACTAAAAAATCTTATGCACCCCTTGTGATCACCTAGGTATAACATGGTATAACCACTAGGTCACATGAAGGCAGTGAGTCCGGCCGAAGCAGGTTGCACAGCAGGAGAGCGGGGCAGTGCCACCAGCCACTGAGTTCGAGGCAGAGGATCAGGTGGTTGATAGAATTCTGCTGTAGAAACTTTAGCTTAACTTTTCGTAGAATCTTAGTGGCAGTACATAGTGTACATATGGATGTACCTGGGATATCAACATTCAGCAACTACCAACAGCGGCTTTTTTTTTGGGCTTTGCTTGAAGCCTCAGCTCCTGTTTGTCTTGGGAACCTGGGAAGTCCTTGACGGAGACAGTGAAGAAGGACAGCCATTTGCTTTGGGATTTTGTTGAAAGCAGAAGCTGGTGTGTACAGTGACGTCATCTGAAAGCAATGGTGCATTTTCAATAGATACTTTCTGTGCATATTCTTGGGAGAGTACATGAAACTGAGTGGCTTGTTGTCAACCCAATGAATCCAGGCGATCGTGCCCCCCGATGTTTGATTGCTTTTGGCAGGGGTGCTGGGATTTGCTGAACCACGATGACAAGAAAGAATGGCTGCCTCAGGAGTGGCTGTGAAATTTGTCATTCCCCATTGAAAAGGATCGCGACTGATTTCCTTTATTGAACCGTTGATGATTCCACAATTCTGCATCGCTGCCATCCGCTGAGCCCAGGATCCCAAAGCATTTCTTGCTGCTGATCTTCAATGGGCCCTGGCGCTCAGACGGCCACTGCCTGGCCATGACTGGAGGTGTAGTCAGTGCTGAAAAACCTGCCGCGACCTTTTCTCAAAAGTCACTTTGAAGGGTTATTTCTTAATAAGTGGGTTTTTTCCTACACTTCATGAGTTCATGGCTTCCAAGGTATTTTTTGCACACTTCATAGTAGTTAGAGGATCTCAGATTTCCTTCAGAGTCTGAAAGGAACATTTCCTGAAACGGCACTTTTTGTGTCCAGAAACAGAGGATGAAACCTTCCACTGAAACCATTGGAATGCTTTTGCCTTCACAATCTGTGAAATGCTTTTTGACTTGAATGACTTGATGCCACAAACCTTGTGACATACCGCTCAGCGAAACTGCACCGAGGCAGCGTTGGTAACAAATCCTCTGTGCCAGGAAGTTGCTGACTCAGCTCCGAGGAGTTCCTTCAGCCAAACTAGTCATAGCATACTTTAACTGTGCGACCTCTCTACCCGCAGCCTTTCAGCTGTGAGCAGCATCGAGGCGAAGAAACCTTTCAAAGGCGAAAAGGACCAATCTAAGAAGGTGACGCCATGTGGCACGACATTTTCTGCTAGATGTCTTGTTTGGCCACCAGAAAGTGGCTCAAACACCTATGATTGTCCCACATGAATCAGGAGATGAACATCTTTAATCATCTTTAACTATACTTAACAAACAGATATGCCAGCTATGCCAGCTATGCCAGCTATGCCAGCTATGCTATTTCCGCATGAACAACCCTGGATTCCCAGGTTTTTTGACCTATTTTGTTGCCACCAGGTGCCAGTGAAAGCCGAAGCGAAGAAGACTTCAGTTCCCGAGGCCAGGTGGCACTTCTGATGCGATGTGGGCCTTTGCGCAGTGGATCTTTGAGGCCAAGGTGAAGGAAGAACCAGGAAGAAGCGCTGTTTGGAGCTGAGTGACTCAATGTCCATATATGTTCATATCACATATCAATACATATCAGGTACAAATAAGAATCATAATATATATATATATATTAATATATTAATTATATTGATATGTATGTGTACAAATGTGATATGGGTGTTCTGTATGTACGACGTGGGCTTGATGGCGTTGAAGAATTCAAATTGAGGATCCAAAGCAGGGAGCTTCCGACAGAGAGAAGGCGGTGGTAGTTAAGAAGGAGATCAAACAGACTGCGACGGTCCTCGGCTGAAAGACTTTCGTTTGGATTTTATGATTTTTATGCCAGTTGTACAACGACTTTGCCGTTGCAATACTAGGCCCAGCCTCCACAAAAAGAGCAGCAACAGGAAGTGCCGAAGGAGAAGGCAAATCAACCTCCAATGAGGGACTTTGGAAGCAGTTCCTACATCATCCTACATCCCATATGGCATTTATTTGAAACATCAATGACTGGTTTTTTGCACCGTCAGGCGAAACCTGTGAAGAAGCAGGAGGCGCCAAAGGAAAAGGCACACCAGCTGAGAAACAATACACAGATGTTGATTTTGCTTCTTGTGATTGAACAGCTTCAGTGTGCTCTCCAAGTAGAGCAGCGAGCACTTGACATTTGAAGGCAGTGGTGGTAAAGCAGGAACCAAAGCAGGTTGCACCTGTCCTTCGCTCAACCTTTGAAGTTGCTTGTATATTTCATTGAAACCTTGAAAGTTGCGGAGCAAGCTTCGCTATGCTAGGCCAAGCCTCCTCACAGGGCACAGCCACAGGAAGCACCGAAGGAGAAGGAGAAGGTGCCGCAAAGAAAGGAAACACTTCGATTCTTTGGCATTTGACTCGAGCATTTCCACGCACTTCGTACTCATCTACTTCCCGTTTGCTATCAAAGACTCAGAGCTTCGCAACGTCAGGCAAAACCTGTTTCAAAGCAGGAAGCACCGAAAGAGAAGGTGCAACAGTCTGGAAGCGAGCAGATGTCGACTGTGCTCTTGTGATTACACTGAATACTGGCCGACTCATTTCTTTAAGATCTTTGAGATTCGTTGTGCGTGCTCTTGAAGTAGAACTGTTGCTACCTGAAGGCAGTGGTGGTGAAGCAGGAGCGTCCGCAAACTGCATCTGTTCTTCACTCAGTCGTTGACGACATCCAGATCTCCTGCAATTTCCAATAGCATCACCAAGGCTCAGCCTCCTCAAAAAGCCCAGCAAGAAACACCGAAAGACAAGGTGGGTTGGCACAGGAGCCATGTTTGACCATGTTTGACCATGTTTAACCTAGCTGTTGAGTTGCTGATGGAATTGCAGGAGATTGATGTGGTCATTGGCCCCGATGAGACCAGTTCAGACCGGTGTATATAAAGCCTTATGTTTGTCAGGCTAAGCCTCTTCAAACTCCAGATGTGGCAAAAGAGAAGGCGCCAGCATGGGTCATTTGGACTGCGCATCCTTTCCCAAGAAAGCTTTGGCTTCTGTGCTCCACTACTGACAAGCTTTTCGTCAGCAAATTTGGCCCGAGTGAAGCAGGATCTTTGTGAATGTTGACTGCCATTCTTGGAGGCAGTTGAGGTGAAGAAGGAACCCATGCAGACCGGACATGTTCACGGCTCAACACTCTAGATCTCCAATAGTTTGAGTGCAGCATCAGAAGCATACAGGCGGCGCAGCTCAGGGTTATCGATTGTCCGCGCATTTAGAACTTTGTTTAAGCACGTTTTACGCCGCACTGGATCAAAATGTGAGGCAAAGCCGCAGAATCAGAAGGTGGAGAAAGCCTCATCCAAAGAGAAGGCAAGTGTGCATCTAAGGATGCCGGCAGACACAACTTGAGCTTGTTGGATGGCCCAAAGAGAAAGATTATCCGTCGAAGTTGGGCATTTTTGGTGGCTTGGACCTGTCATGGTTTCCACCACATTGGGATGATTGCTGGAGTTCCTACAATGATGGGCATGTTGTGTATATGAGGACAGCACAAATCATCACAAATCCCACAATGCGCATGGGATTTTGCGGATTCCATGGTCTGCAGATTCCATGGTAGCCAGGCTGCAAAGGCCGCTGACTCCACGGTGATGGTGGCAGCACAGCCTCGCGCCGACAAGGACATGGCATGGTTGAGATGCGTTGAGATGCGTTGAGATGCGTTGAGTACTGAGCTCCAGATTGGACTTGCATACTAACACGGATTTCGATGAAAGCACACCCAGACAGTTTTTTTTTCTTTGCTACTTCATCCCTTTTTGGGTAGATGTATATAATGAAACCAAGAGGGTTTTGTCATTTGTTCAGAGCAATGATGCGAGCCGATCTGGAACTTGTTTCATGACCCTAGGAGTTGCCATCCAAAGAGAAAGCAGTCAGTGGGGCTCTCAGATTTTTGGTCTAGTGGTGAGGAATCTAGTTGTTGGTTTTGCAGTGTCAGCAAACAAACTGCATTTGACATTCGTGTGTACATTGAAGAAACCAAAATTTGTGGGTACATTGAAGCGAGACAAAGCTACGGATTCGGATCAACTTCTGGTTGACATCTAGTGTCATCAATGTCAATACTTTTTTGCCTTCAATTTCACAAACGTGTTTTTGTACAGGGAATCAGTGCAGTCTGTTGGGCATCTCCATTTGATGATCATCCCCTTTCAAGGAGCGAAGAAAACAAAAGAAGCTGCAGAGCCAGCGAAAAGGCAAGCGAAGGCTAAGGCTGTGGGTCGTCGGCTTGCCGTCGGCTTGCTGTTTTGCTTTTGGAGCGGCGAAGTTGCAATGGATGACACGGAAAGTTGGATGTTCCCATTGGCGGTGGATGCACAAAGTGCTAATTTCCCTATGCAGGCGAAGAGCGGAACTGTTTCTTTGGAGCAGAGGTGCGCAGTTGAACTGTTCGTGTCCAGAAGAAAAGTTTCTAACCAACCAAATGCCAAAACAAACCAAAAACATCTCTCCAAACTAGGGTCAAAAGAGCAGTTGCCTCTGCAGTTGCTCGACATTTCACATGTCTCGGACATGGATAAGGCGAACGGTGTTTGCCTTATCCACTCCGTTGTTCATCAGTGTAGGCTACGGAAAAAGAAAAAGGCTGCTTCAGATGACGAGGATAGCATTGGGTACAGTATTGGGTACAACTGGGCAGGGATGTTTGTGCAAGGCGAGTAGGCTTTTCTTGACGACTTCGAACTTCGACCTGTCGATTTTTTTGAATTTAGATAATTAATTAATTAGGTGACAAGGGTGAAAGGATGTGAAAGGATGTGAAAGGACCAAAGAGGTGCATTCACAGTTTGGTTTAAAAAGGGAACCTGCACATTATGCAGATCCAAATCCGAGGGCCGGAGCAAAAGCACCGCTGAACAACCGACTTGGCCATTTTTGTGTCACATTCAGCATTATCATTGGATACGCAGGTGGAAGATGACAAGCTCATGGCATTGGTGCCAAGAAGCCGGGCACTTGTTTGGAAGTTGGCCATGGAAATTCAATGAAGTTCACAAACACTAAAGTTATGACAACATACCAAATCAAATAATATCTACTTGAGCTTCTTGGATTGTTGACAGTCACATCATGTCCTGCAATATCTATGATTAATCTGCAGGCAGCTATGCCCCATGTCTCTCACTTGATCACCCCACATCCTCGTGTCTGTCTCTTGTAGGTGATGACGAGGACGCGGACGACGCGGATGCTCCTCCAGAGATATCCAAGCCCAGAAGCCGTGGGAAGGATGCTGCGCGTGCAGCTCCCCCTGGGCGAATGCTGGTGAATCGCCGGGAGGCTTGGTGAGAGGTGAGGCATTTGGGTGACCGCCGCAATTTGCGGAGATAGAACTGCTGGCAGATCACATCCTCTCATGGGGGATACTACCACTTGGGGATGTCAGATCCGATAGTAGCAAGGCAGGGATTTGCTCTGAACCATCTCCAAATCATTGTAATCATCTCTCCAATCGAAAGGTATTGACATAGCAGATGGATGCAGATGGTACAGTAGGTCGCCTTGGACAGATTTTGGGTCTACTTCCTCTCCGAATCCCACTATCCCAGCCACGTCAAGGTCAGCACAGAGCCCCTCTGAAGGCACTGATGCCGTGGTCAATGAGTGACTTACCAGTCATCACAGCCACGCCACCAAACCCCCCCAACATCACCAGAGGATCACTATGCCAATATTGAATAGCAATGAATAGCATACTAGTTGCTAGCTAAGATACTGGATTCCAACAGAAATGGACATGATTGTCACAAGTATCCTAGTCCAGACACAACTCAATTCTCCAAAGTTGTGTCATATGGGAAGAATATCCTGAATCCTGAGTACACATTTGTTGCATGTCCGATTTGGAGTTTATATCATTCTTGCTCTTGCAGCATGCTATAGCTGTCACGCCCTTGAGCTGTCAGGAGGTGGCGGAGAATCTCTTCCCAGAAGCTCTGGAAGCCTCGTGCTGCAAGTGCCACGGAGGCAAGAATTCCAGTGCTCCATCGAGTTCCTGAATGCTGACGCGGTGTTCCTTTGATCATTTGGAATGGAGAGTGTTTTGATTGATCATGTTATTTTCCACGCTACGTATGCAGAAGGTATGTATGCATAGATTTGAATGAGTGGCCATGTAATTTTGAAATGCACGACGATGTTTGGTCCGGGCCGATTCCTTCCACAGGCTCTGTCTCAGCAGACAACGATTTGGGGATGTGCGTCCCGTACCTATTTGCGCAAGAAATGGAAACGCTGGTTTGTAAGGCTGCACTTGTTGGAAGGACTGATGATGTCAGGATGTGACCGCTTTTTAGATCTGCTGTGATTGAAACGAGATAACTGGCTAGCTTTAAATCTTCACTAGTGAAGATGTGGAAGTCCTTGGAAGTCTTGCTTGATTTGAAGGTTTGACAGAAAAACTGAAATGACCGGGTTTAAGCACTGAGGATCGTTGTGACAAAGCGTTTCATCAGAAGTGCCATGGCCCGCCGGTCCGGGTCTGAAGTTTGCTCCCGGACAAAATCTCAATCTTTGGTCAAGAGTCAAGAGCCTGACACATGAGGCCCACTAATTTTTGGAAGGATGCCTCTCAACACACCATAATTGACCAAGGTCCGCGTAGACCGTAGAAGCCAAAGCGATTGAACAGCAGTTCCATAGTCGATGAATGTCGAGATGGATTGCAAGTCACCGAAGGTCACCTACTTTGGGAACCCGGAAGACCAATGGCCACATCCTTGGCAAAGATGTCACCATGGAAGGCAATGGAAGCTTTTGATTATTTTGATTTGCTACCGGAGGATTTGGTGATTTTGGTGTTTGTCGTGGATATTACACCTTGAATCCAAATCATTTTTGAATCCAGACATTGTTCTCACACACTGCTTTACCTCCAAAGGCCCTAGACCACACTTTTCCTTCCATCTCCATTCTTTAGCCGCAGTTGAATTGAGGTTTTGTTCGCAATGTACATTGGATTTGGCGGAGATGCGCAAGTTGCAGTTGCAGGTGCGGGTTGGGATTTGGCAGCAGGTGACTGCGAGCGCTGGATTTTTGTGTGCGCAGCAGGCTGTTTCTGTATCATTCTGCTTTATGAATGCAAAATTATGTAAGTATGGAATTTGAGATATTCCAAGGTCGCAACCCTGCAACAGAAATTTGATACCCGGCCTGGAACATTTTGGTAGAATGCAACTCACAATCTTAGACCAACCAAACTGTTGGCCGTAACCCTGAATGAGATGAGAAAAAATTGAGAGGATGCCTCTCCGTTGCCGTTTGGGGAGGAATACCTCTGAGTCAAAGCCTATGAGGTCAAGTAAATGAATGAGATTCTTGCAAACAAGAAAAGGTTAGCAAGTCAGAAGGCAAAAACTTTGGCACAATATATGCCGCATCCTGCTTTGAAAGTATGTCAAAGTGCAATTGTCTCCCATTTGCTTCGCTTCAACCAACTTCTCACATCAGCATACTGGACCTTCCCATCATGGTGTGCTCTACTCGCCGGTTGGGCGCACACTTGCTGCTGGGTGTGGGCCTGGTCTCCATGATCCTTGGATCAATTGGAAGGACCTTTGTGCCCCCACCGGTGAAGCCCACAGCCGGCACTGCTGGCGCCAGTGCAGCCGTGCTGACCTCGTTGCTGACAGTGCCCAGCGCTGAGGCCCAGGAGTTTGGTGCTGGAATCATCGCTCCACGCGGCGATTTGTTTGCCAACTCTGAGGCGGTGCTGGAGATGCGCGAAAACCCGCCATTCTTTGCCCAGTGGCCACCCTTGGTGCAGATTGCTGTGCCTGTAGTGGCCTTGGTGGCAGTGGCTGCAGCTGCACCGCTGTTGTTTGGCGAAATGATCGACAAGGCGACCATCCGCAGGGCCAAGCGCCGAGAACGTGAGAAGAAGGAACTGATTGAAATGCTGCAAAGGCAAGTCGCTGCTGCAGCTGCTGCAGAGGCTGCTGAAAAGGCTGCAAAGGCAGAAGCCAAGGAGAAGCCTGCAGAAGCTTGAGAGCTTGAGAGCTTGAGAGAGAAGACACAAGGAACAGCTGCGCCTTGAAGAGTTGATCTGAGCAGCTAAGCCTTGCTGTTTGCTGGTACAGAAAGGAAGTTTCAGAAAAGTTTTGGTCTCAACTAAACCTCCAAGAAAATCTGTTCAGACTGATGGAGATGTATTTAGTTGCGCAGGATTTCTCTTTCGAGGGACCTTTGCAATACTTTTTAAAGATTTTTAAAGCATCATCCAGACAGACTCAGAAGGAAAAGCCCTCCTTATGCTGTCAACTGCTGCGTGCAAAAAGCGATTTCGACTGTTGACATGACCGAGCGTTAACAGTGAACAGGTTAGTTCTTCCAAACCAGAAGCTGACATTTAAGATTACTTGCCGTCTTTGGTATGAAAGAAGATGAAAGAAGTGCTGCATTGTAGGGTCATCTTATGGTAACATGTCAAAACAAGCAGCAGCATGAAGGTGTGACTAAGCCATGGCTCCAAATCTTGCAGTTTGTTGAGGTCGTTGATAGTAGAAACTGGCAGGACAGTTCGTTAAACACCGACAGCCACATAAACTGTAGATCTTACAACCACACAAAACTTCAGAGAATTTGGGCTGTGTTCCTAAAAGCAGATCTGGGGTTTTGTGCCTGCGTGAACCAGCTTGTGTAGAGTTTGCTCCCGATTAACCATTGATAACAGTTAATTAATCATTAATAGCCATTAATCATCACTAATCATCATTAATCATCTTTGATTCCAGGGATATCCTGTTTGTATCCCCATTATAATGTGAATCCGCTTGCCACCATGCAGGTGGACGACTTTTGTTGGGTCCAAGCGACTGGGGAGACTGTGGCTTGGCCAGTCCTGGGCTAAGCCGATTTGGTGACTGTGGACCCCCGAATGTTCCATCCAACTTCAGACGTATTCAAAACAAGGTGCCTTATGCATCCTTATGCTCTGAAAGCGTTGAAGTTGGACTCTACAGTTTCTGGGATCATTGGAATTTGAATATGTTACGGCTGAGGCTCGCGTTCTGCGAATCGACTTCTCAAGTCTGGCGGATCCCAAGCCCTACTGGGTCCATCTGGCATGGAACATCTCGGGATGGGTAGGGCCTGGTGGGTGACCAGCAAAATAGAGGGCAATTTCATGTTAAACCACCGTGGTCCCGTAAGATCCCACAAGTATTCATGGTAGAAAGACCCATCCCCATCTTGGGGCATGGTCTGTCAGGTGCAGTTCTTCGATGCTGGACCGTGTGGAGCTGAAAGACGGGGCAGACCTGGAGCAGCCAAGGTGTTTGAATGGACTTGTCCTTTGAAATAAAAGCGGACACAAAGAATATTAAAGAACATCCATTCCCATTTGATCCGATTTGGTTGCTTCCACAAAAATGGTAAAAGAGCCTTTGTGGACTGGAAATATATGTTCACATATGTTCACATGCATTGAGGCCTGAAGGTGCCTGGGTTGGAGAAATCCATGCGAGGATCCCCAGTGGGACACTGTCAGAGTATCTCTCCCCAGCGGCGTCAGTCTTGTCATGGCATGGTTGCTACGTATCGATCATTTCGTGATACATTCATATGATTCATGGGTTGGACGCAGACCAAACGATAAAGCCTATCATCTATCATCATCTATCATCATCTATCATCATCTATCATCATCTATCATCATCTATCATCATCTACCATCATCTACCATCATCTATCATCATCTATCATCATCTATCATCATCTATCATCATCTATCATCATCTATCATCATCTATCATCATCTATCATCATCTATCATCATCTATCATCATCTATCATCATCTATCATCATCTATGTCCATCATCATCTATCATCATCTATCATCATCTATCATCATCAATCATCATCAATCATCATCAATCATCATCTATCATCATCTATCATCATCTATCATCATCTATCATCATCTATCATCATCTATCATCATCTATCATCATCTATCATCATCAATCATCATCAATCATCATCTATCATCATCTATCATCATCTATCATCATCTATCATCATCTATCATCATCTATCATCATCTATCATCATCAATCATCATCTATCATCATCAATCATCATCAATCATCATCAATCATCATCAATCATCATCAATCATCATCTATCATCATCTATCATCATCTATCATCATCAATCATCATCAATCATCATCTATCATCATCTATCATCATCTATCATCATCTATCATCATCTATCATCATCTATCATCATCTATCATCATCTATCATCATCAATCATCATCAATCATCATCAATCATCATCTATCATCGTCAATCATCATCTATCATCATCTATCATCATCTATCATCATCTATCATCATCAATCATCACCTATCATCATCAATCATCATCAATCATCATCAATCATCACCTATCATCACCTATCATCATCTATCATCATCTATCATCATCTATCATCATCTATCATCATCTATCATCATCTATCATCATCTATCATCATCTATCATCATCTATCATCACCTATCATCATCTATCATTATCAATCATCACCTATCATCACCTATCATCATCTATCATCATCTATCATCATCTATCATCATCTATCATCATCTATCATCACCTATCATCATCTATCATCATCTATCATCTTTCATAATTCTTTCAGAAACCATTACACATCTGTTTCGATCATTTCGCAATGGGCCCTTGCGACGCAGGTGAAGCCCTGGAGCGATGGGCCCAGCTTCCGAAGCATCGTCCAGGCGAGGCGGCGCAATGCCGTCCGCCTGGCCGAGGCCGGGGAGTCGGGATTTCACCATTTTTCATCCAGGGATGCGCTGGAAAAACACATATTATATATATATATAAAGTATATCATATGATAAAAGTAGGAAACTGAATTTCTATAAAGTATATCATATGATAAAAGTAGGAAACCCTTCTCTGAATTTCTCTGATGATTGTTGAAATTTTGGGATTTGTTTGATTTCTGATGGACTGCATGTGCCTGATCCAGCGGTGACTTTGAGGCAGATGGTGCTCCCCAGATCAGCGCTGAAGAACGAGCTCCTGCCAGTTGGTGCCCCAGGAGGAGAATCTACAGCCGTAGAAAACCACCATTCTCAATCCCACTTGTTTGCTGAAAGAAGTGAATCAGTTTTGGGCCTTGAATCTTCAACTCAAAGGAGGTGTGTTGTTCAGACCCCTTTGCAGCATGTTCCCAGGTCGACGGAAGAGACCTGCAGAGGAGCGGCCACTGGGGGTGCACTCTACTTCTAGGAAGATTCAAGGGCTGCACTCAACGCACCATTATTTTTCATGACATTAGTCGGATCCCAAATCTGGCTGATTTGGATTCTGGATGATGTGATGATGTTGAAACTTAAGCTCGTGGCAGGATCCGGAGAATCCGAATGCGCGCCGCCGACGAGCCGTGGCAGAGGTGCGGCAAGAGGTACAAATGTGGCCAGTGGAGGGGCCTCCAGGGGATCCTTCCTTTGAGCTTGCTGGCATAAAATCTTGCTGAAACGAGAGGCTCCAAGTTCCCTGTGGTTGTGTGGTTGCAGAGACAATGTGGAACAGCTTCTGAAAGAGTTTCAAATGTTTTTGTCAGTCGATCCTATCAGATCCTGACACTGTCAGGACAGCCCTGAGAACCGCCCTCGCCGCAGCCGCCGTGGAGAAGCGTCCACGGCTATCTTCTGCCGGCAGTTTGTGCGAAGGGTTGAAGATGAAGTGTACGTATCCAAAATATCCAAACAATAGAAGCAGCAATTTCTTGAGTTTTGTGATGTGCGGGTGGCGAGTGCACGTGGTCACTTCTCATATGTGCGATCCTTTTCTTCAAATGCCTTTGGAGATGGGATAATATCCTCATGAAATAGATATCTTTCAATGTAGTTCCGCCCAACTTTTGATCCTTGCCAGGCCAATGTTTCGTTGCTGACCGAGCCCACCGCTTGCAAGCGCCGTGCCAGGGCAAGGTCGCCTGCTGATTGCCAGCAGCTCAGCACAGCGGGTTTGGGAGTTGCCGAGCCCCAAACTCTCAGCCACCAAATTGTATCATGTTTTATTGTCCACAGCTGGTTTTTTTGAGGCCACAACATAAAACAACAGCATCTCTCGGGTGAACTGCATAGGTCTGGAATCGCCCAAGCCCAAGCGACGGCAGGTGGGCTGAGGGTTGAGTTGGGTTGCACCCAATGGAAATAAGACAAGGGCTGGCACTTTCAGAACAGAAGACTTATTTCCCGTTTGATGTGCTCTTTAGTTTTAGCATGATTGCAACATATATCCGTAAATAATAGAACTACATATATTAATATGTATATATTATATATAAGTTATATAAGTATAAGTATATTTTAGTCAGTGTGTATATATTTATTTGATTAGCCACAAGATGTAATATATTACAGATCTTTTGATACATTCGATACATTTTGGTATAGCTACAGCACATGCCCTCACGTATCACGGTGTCCAGGACGTGGATCCAGTGTCAACGGAGAAGCAGCCACGGGACAAGCAGGATGGGTTGAGTCTTTGTTTGGAACATGGCTTGAAGAGATGGGTATAACTGTATAACGGTGGTATAACTGTGGGGAATTATTGAATACTCACTTGGCTCTGGCAGAGAGAATTTAAAGAATCTAGAAAAATACTTCTCTGGCGGTGGAGTGTGTTTCACAAGCCTTATTCTTATCAAGAGTTTGGCAGTGTGTGAAGTCAATGGATGTAGGGTTGAATGGTTGGACAGGCTTGCGCTTGGATATGTGCCAAGGTCAACAGTTCGATGATATACCCATATTGGGGGATGGTCATCAAGAAATCAAATAGAGATTTATATCCCCACTGTAAGGATTCCCAATATGGGATTGATGACCATAAACCATATACTGTACTATTTTTTGACCATGGCACATATTGTGCAGTTACATCAACCACAAAACATGCAAAGTCGGGGTTCAATATGGTCCACTAAATGGGAACACTTTCCCTCCGAAATCCCATATCAACGCAATCAACGCCATGCAGGCTCAATCCAAGATCGTTGAGACCTGCAATCTGATTTCTGAGCTGAAGGAGACGTCGTTGTTATCCCAACCGGATTGGCTTCCTGCTGCAACAGATTCAACCGATGCTCATAGCAAAAGTAGGAGGATCTCATCGCACACTCATGGCCAAACGATTAGACTCAGACACTTACAGAAATATCATGAAATATCTTAAATGTTCATAGATTTCATAGATATTCTCAAATGAGTTTCAACCGGGCTGCAACATGCAACCCAACATATTGGAAACATGGCTTCGTTACTCCCCACTCCAAGCTTCTGTGCCTCTCTTGAGGAGCAGCAGCGGCAGGTTGATCAGGAACTTGCGCAGCAGGAGGTGTCGGGATGGCCAATGGCCACTGTCATTGTGTTGCCAATGGATTATTTGTGGATTACTCATGGATTATTCGATATTATTGTTCAATATTAGTCATGGATTGTTCAAAAGATCTTCTGGTTTCCCTTAATTCTCACCAGATCACCAAATTGCCTCTGATGACTTCACGTGATGTTGCATGCACACGTGATGCCCTTCCAGCTATCCATCCAAGGCAATCAAATTGTTACTGTATCATACTGTATCACTTTTCCCAGCCGTGCTGCCAGGCTGCTGTGTGAGAGCTGCGCTTGGATGAGATTGTTCCCAAGTGTCACGGCCGGGATTTCCTGCACGTAGTGCAGTTCGTTGGCTTGAGGGAGAGGCCAGCAAAAGAGATGGTGGCAAGTACGACTTGCAAAGGTACAGTGAGTCCAGCATGCCATGCTTTGAACAACGACAATCAAAGACACTCGGTTGGATGCCATTTTACAGAGATTCGACCAAAATTTGACCAGAATTCAATAAATTGGAGAATAGAACTGTTGGCTCACCTGTACAGATTGCACATTTGATCACACGCAGATCCAAAAAAATGGACCTTGCTGTGGCCAACTTAATTTGCATCACATTGCTCGGGTGGCAGGACAAAAACCTGTTCAATGCCGTCCTCCGCCTGCGCATGCAAAGGGGACATGGACAGTGCGAGGCACTGCCAGCCGAAAGCCCTGGATATTCATCACTCGCAAAAAGAATATTGATCAATTTTTCGAACATCAAAAATGTGCTGCATTTTAACTTATTGAAGCAATGATAAGGATAGAGAAAGAAGCCAATAAGCACGAATAAGTTGAAGCTGGAAATACAATTGAAATTATGTGTTAGTAAGGGCTAACGCCCTGGTGCCGCCGACCCCCTGTCAAGGGGGGAGAAGGGAATGCGTCGCATAAATATATATATATATATAAATTATATATATATATATTATATATACACATAAATATCATGAAAAAAACATATAAATATCCAGATCTATGAATTTCTTTGTTTGGACTGAGCAGCCCAGCAGCCCATTTCGCCGATGTGCGCCTGGGGTGGCCAAGCTACGGCCGCGCTCGCGCATGCGGTGCGGGGTCTTGGGCATCCCCAAATGGTTGTTTATGGTTGGCGAACATATATAATTTAATTCGGGATAGGGTTGGTTAAACCTAACATTTACATTGTTCATGGTTGGTTTTAGTTACATGGGGGTTTATGGTCTTAACCAATCATTTTTGTTGAATCTAATATTGGTACAGCAACCATAAAACATCCCTAAAGTTACCATAAATGTGCGGTGGTATACACCCGGTGGGTTATCATGGCTTTACTAGCATTACGTGATCCCAGCCCTTTTGTAGGTATACCCCCTGGTTTACTAATAAACACTGGGAAGGGTTTAGTAATACGTATAATTTGGGCATTTATTTCATCAGTATTTGCGCGATTTATCGGCGTCTTATGGTCATACATGGTTATATTTGGGTATGTCTATGAATGGTGCGTGTGAGCAGGAAATGAACATGTTTACACGAATATGATTTTACTTTTCTACTCTGCTTGATCACTGCATTTTAGGGGCATACAATATAAACCCCAAGTTTTGGACAAAAGCCATTTAAGCCTCCCTATATCGATTGAGTTGGGGACAATATATTTAATATTTCCTTCTGGGGGTTGAACATCTCTCGATATTTCCGGGACAAGCCTCAAACATGGCACATGAAGAGTCAGAAGTGAATCCCCAAAAAGTGGGAGATGGATAAAGCAAAATAAGATATATTCCCACAATGACCGAAATGTCAAATCTGAGTGAGAATTGAATACATATGTAAAAGATTCATAAAGATTCCCAAAAGTAGATTAGCTTAGGTTAGACTAGAAAAATAGACTAAACTAGAAAGATAGATTAGCCCAGAAACCGGTATTCAAAACATGGAAGATAATGAATAGGAAATATAGGAGGGAGAGATGGATGGGGTTAGTAGTAAAATCAAAATTGATAAATAACAACAGACCAAAATTACCAAATATTATTTTTTATAAACCCCTTAAAAATATATAACTAGGCAATTTAGAAGGCTATAATAA